ATTTGTATAAAGTATTGGTATAGATACTCTCTCATGCTCTTAGTTTAAGTACGGAAGAAGCCAGTATTTTTTCGAACGACGAATTAAATTCGGGCTCGGAATTCCATAATTTACAAACAGTAATGGAGGCCAAAGGGGAAAAAACGCGGTCCGGGAGGAAATCCTCCAGCAAAGCTAACGAGAAAATGGAACAATTAGAAAATAGAGTCAACGAAAGGTTAGACACTATGATGAATTTTTTAAGAGAAAGTATTCAAACTTTGTCCAGCAGTGTTTAGAGAATACAGCTTCTCATAATGTGCACGAGACAAACGTGTCTCATAATTCGTTAGCGGATCAGGATACCGGTGGTTTATCCACGCGGAGACCTGAGCCCATGGTATCAAATGTAGACGATTCATCTGGAATGCGTCCGATTATACATTTGGAAAGTGAAGTCCAAATTGAAGGGACATTAAGTGTGCCTGAAATGGACGATATGATATCATTAGCTCCAAGAAAGACGTGAGCTATTGGGTGATAACGAATCCTCAGTACAAGAGGAATCTTTTACTGCCCATGATTTTGATAACAATCAACATAAGTTGAACAGCAACAACAACAATAGATTTCAGAACTTGATCAATGAACCAATGTTAAGAAAAAAAAACACGGAAATAAAACCAAAGGTTGGGAGAAAAGTAAACATTCAATTTCCAAGCCGTACAAAAGTATTGAAACTTTGGCATATCGGGGACAGATGGCTGCCTGTATGGGTATTATTTCATTAAGCTACATGCAGCAAGCTTTAGTAACGTTGTTAGATTTTATAACTTGTTAAGATGCGGACACAGTTCAAGCAATTACAGACATTTTCTCCATGATTACCAAGGCACTAGATCAAATGGGGGGAGCAGGGGCTTTTCACCATCTTATAAGAAGGAAAACTGCAGCACAAGACTCTGGATTATATACCTTGAAGGATATTCATAGCAAAATTATTTGCCTGCCTCTTTCAGAAGATGGCGTCTTTGGCAAGAAATTAGAAGAGAAACTAAAAGAAAGGAAAGAGCATTCTCTTAAGGATTTAATTCTGGAATGGAATGAAAAAAATCAGAAACGCAAATTTTCAGAACATTCTGCTGAAAACTCTGGAAATTTTAAAAAACCCAGAACTACTACTGTTTTGAAAAACAGTTACAGAACCTCTACTCAGAGACCCAATTTCTCAAGACGGTCTTATGACTACAAACCAAGAGAGGACAATTCGAGAAATACGTCTACATCTGCTACAGTAGACAGAATCGGCTCCTTTCGGATCCCAAAGAAATCTAATAAATGACTGGAGATTAGAACAGGTAACCAAAATTGCAATGCTTCCCGAGATACCAGTTGGGGGTCGTCTCATACATTTTGTAGAAAACTGGAATCTTGTAACTCAAGACAGTTGGGTATTATCAATAATCAACGAGGGTTACAAACTAGAATTTCTTCAAAAACCCCAGTTTTTAGGGGTAAAAAAAAACAAAAATCCCTCAAATACAAAAACATTGTTTGTTAAAAGAGGTAGAAGATTTATTAGAAAAAAATGCAATAGAACCTGTCTCAAATCAGGAGAGTCAAACAGGTTTTTACAGTACATTTTTCCTTGTCCCCAAAAAGGGTGGCAAAATGAGTCCCATCATAAATTTGAGACCCCTCAACCAGTATCTCAAGAAGCAACATTTCAAAATGGACACTTTAAACAAAGTGTTGAATCTAGTGATACCAAACGATTGGGCAATTTCAATCGATTTAACAGATGCATATCTACACATTCCAATATTTTCAAAACATCGAAAATTTCTAAGATTTTGTGTAGAAAACCAGTGTTATCAATGGAAAACAATGTGTTTCGGCCCAATATCAGCACCTCGAGTTTTCACCAAAATGGTGTCTGTAGTAGCAGCATATTTGAGAACACACAATATTCGTCTAGTGGTTTACCTAGTCGATTGGTTAATTGTAAACCAATCAAAAGAAATGTTATATCAAGATCGACAGAAGTGCCTAAATCTATTGGTTTCACTAGGTTTCAAAATAAAGAAAGAGAAGTCTTGTCTAGAACCCACTCAGGAAATTGTATACCTGGGAGCTTTGTTTTTATTCAGACAAAAAATAGTACTTCCATCTCAAGACAGATTGATAAAATTGGTACACTCAACCCAATTGTTAACGCAGGATCAGAAAACAGCCAAAGATTTTCTACAATGGTTGGGAATAGTAGCCTCATGCATAGATCTTATTTCAAATGCTCGTCTTTACATGAGACCTGCTCAGTTACGTCTACTAAGTTTATGGAAACCAAGCTCTCTAGATTTGGAGAAAATAGTCCCTATTACACCACATCTAATACAACACCTACAATGGTGGTTATATTCAGTGAACATTTCCAGGGGCAGATCTTTGCAACTGGAAGAAATTGGGGTGACCATAACCACAGATGCATCCTTGAAAGGGTGGGGGGTCACCTAAACAATCA